ATTATTATTATTATTATTATTATTATTAATATGCCACCTGAGCTCTCTAATCCCATTTTAGCTGAGTCTAATGGGTTTTGCAAACACAGCGAATGTCTTCATCTGATCCAACTGGGCCTCCACCGATGAGCAACTACAATCAGATTCTTAAGTAAAGAGTTGTGTGTGTGTGGGTAGCTTTTCCATCCTATCCTAGCTAATCTATTGAATTCAGAAATGTGGCACCCCAATTTTTTGCAGCCTTTTGACGTCCCCATGCCTGCAGTTACCATAAATTGATGGCCGTATTCCCCACCATTACCCCAATGGAGGCTTGAGAAAGCTACTTTTTCAAAAAAAAACAAAGTGGAAAAAAAAAAGAATAATGCCACTCCTAAAAAGAGGAAAATGGAAAACGTTTGCTCTATCCATGGACATGATGTGGCCCTACATCCATTTTGCGTCCTTGCTATTTGCCCAAAGCAATTCTCAGTTCCTCCCTTGTGTGGTCAGTTTCCAAGATTGCTGCTGACCTTCCCTGGGGGGTGGTTTCAAGTGGCAATGCCAGGATTGAATCTGGAACTGCTTTGCCCAGGGTGGGGGGAAAGCCAGATCAAAGTTGCCCCCAGGCCTGTTCCTTGCTACCAGCCTTGCAGCTTCAGGTTTTTTACCCCCTCTGCCAGCATCCATCCTGATGAAGCTGCTGGTATTAGTTTTGGGCTGAAGCTGGTTCAGAGAACTCAAGGGTGTCCTTGAGCACGGACAGAGGGCCACATCCCTACCTGGAAACAAGCTACTGTGCGGTTCTCCAAAACTCCTGCTCTTTGCATGCCCATTTCACTACCTCTCTGCCTTTCTCTTCGGAGTGCCAGGCCAACCGTCTGTTACCACCTCTGTATTTTTTGATTTTGTCTTGCAGAAGAAGAAGAATAAAGAAGGGGCCTTCTGCCCTTCCACTGGCTCATCTTCCTCCTCTTCTTCCTCCTCTTTGCTTTCTCCTCTGGGCATCGCCAGCTCCCTGCCGGACATTCGTGCTAGCTTAACCAGCTCTTTGACTTCCAACAAGAAGAACAAGGGCAAAGCGAAGACGAAGGAGGCAAAGAAAGAGGTGAGAATCAGAGACAGAACAAAGGCCCCCCAACCCTGTTTCTGCCCTCAATGTGCTGCCCCCAATCAAGCAGGAACTTCATGCTAGATCCAAATCTCAGGCAGTCACTTTTAACCTTTAGGCCACACTATTGTTTTATCCTTTCTATGTAGAAGGAAGTGGCATGGTTTGCTATGGGTACTATAAGCTACTGCAGGTATTACCTGGGCCTGTATTATACAGATTTGTACGTGTTTCTCCCCTATTGTGCACACTTTATTCTGATTTGATTGCATCTTCTAGTCTGGGAGGTGGCATCAGCTTTTCTGAAGTTTACCAACCAGACTCTGCCCCTTTCGCTTGGCAAAATCTCTTCTACAGCTTTTGCCTGTGGGAACGTCCCTTCCATCCTCTGGCTAGTAAGATTTCAGTGAAGACTGAGCACTTTTTGCCTGCATTTTATTAGAGCCAGAAGGTCTAAACGCTCATGGCTGCCAAACACAATGAAAGCGTAGCATGAGAATTTTAGGCTAGAAAACTCGCAGGGCTGGGGAAATTCCAAGGAGTTGCATAAATGGAGGACCACATTTGTGCATCTCCTTGGAATTTCCCCAGCCCTGCGAGTTTTCTAGCCTAAAATTCTCATGCTACGCAGGGTTGTGTGTTTGTGTGTGTGGGGGGGGGGGGGGCCTTTCTAGCATTGCTGATGGCTCCCCAAGTCTGTAATGTGGCTTTCCCAGCATTGCTTTTCAACCCTTCCTTCCTCTGTTACAATCATTTGGAAGAACTCCAACTATTTCGGAATAGTGATAACAGAGAGCAGAGAGAAAGGAGTGATGGAGAAGGAGCTCAACTGTCATCCTGTGGGCAACAGAAGGAGGTTGAGGCTTAAGATGCGCTCACTCCATGGATTTCTGGGTATGCAAGTAGAACAAATAAATTGGTTTCGCCCTAGACCCGAGGGAAAGGAGGAGCCGTGAGCAAACTGATGGAAAGCATGGCTGCTGAGGAAGACTTTGAGCCCAACCAGGACAGCAGCTTTTCCGAGGATGAGAACATACCCCTGAACTTGCTCCTGGAAAGGCCCCTTACTCCAGGTGGGTACACAACGTGTCAATGTAAAATGGACAGTAGAATAAGAGATGGTTGGTCGTTTCAGTGGTTTCACGTGGGCAAAAGCTGCATTTCAACAGGATGCCTTTGTATCTCCCCCCTGAAACTGCTGGTGGAAGCACGTTGAACCATGCCAAGGTTAAGGCCCTTCTTAATTTAGGAACTCTAATTTGGTGAAGATATCTGGCTGGTTTATAAGAGGTCCAAGGGCTACTTAGAAATACCCCTTTGAGGAGGGACATCAGGTCTGTTGGAATATCAATGCCCTTGAGATGTTGCTGTGCATTCTTGCCCTACCATGCACACTTGAGTTAAGGAAAAACCCAGAAGTTCCCCTTTTTTATGTATTGCCTATGCCAGGAGGAGACAAAGTTGTCAGAAAGAACTTGAGGAGTTAGATCTGCTGGGAAGAAAAGCAGTTTAGTTCAATGTGTGTATCCAAGCACTGGATTCAATCTTATTATATATAAGTTGGAACCTGAGCTACTGGGAATAATTCAGGGAGAAGTGCTTGATGGATTAGTCCAGTGTTTCTCAACCTTAGCAACTTTAAGATAAGTGGACTTCAACTCCCAGAATTCCCCA